ATGTGTCAGGATATGTATGTGAATGTGAGTGTATGTGAAGGTAGGTAAGAGTCTGTAGCAGCATATGTTTTAATAAATTGTCTGCCCTTCTAGCATGCTTTCTTATGAAATGCTTTTTTTTTTAATTAAACGCACCATTGTCCTTTGTCTGCCACTTGTTTAGCTTTCCAGTTTAACACAATTAGCACAGAAGAAAGAGCTGTCCCAGTTGTTTCTCAATTGCTGCAAAGAATCTTGTACGTCATTTTACAACCGAACTAGTTTGAAAGCATTGCGTTTTTGAATATACAACTTCACACGGAGTCAATACAACTGCACTTGCTAGCCAGGCTCTGAGAAAATCTGCAGTCGTGAATTTGTTCAAAGGAATTATTGATTCACAGATTGTAAAGGCTTATATTTCTTCTTGTTTTTCTAAAGTCTGTTTCATGTTAGCACATTCTGGTTAGCAGATGTTCGTAGGCGTTTTGACATGCTTCATTGCTAACCAGCAAACAATTGTCTTTTTATTTAGTCCTTTGAAAATTCCCTTAGAGAATACCAAGTTTCGTTCGCGTAAATCTGTAATAGGATAAGCAGCTTCTGAGATACAGGACTTCGTTTTTCATTGAAGTTTTCTTCGTGTTCGTTGTACCATGTAATAATGCCAAATTGACTGGCATTTTCCAAGGTAGTTAAATGCTTTTTCCCCCGTGTGGGATCCGGGGCCCCATTGTAAGGGAAAACAAGAATAGACCCACTGCCTCCCCAAAAGCATGTCGTGAGAGTCGACTAATTGGGGAGCTTCCTTTGAAGTCGGAGTGCATCTGCCGGAGAGGTAAGAAACCAACAGTCAGTATTCAAGAGAATGAGATCTGTAAAACTGATGCACACGCAACACTCAGGTTCTGGAGCAGGACTGCAGTTCAGTAGTGGACGAGCAACCAGAACTTTCCGCCAGAATGTACAACTGGTGAACGCGAAGAAGAAGAAGAAATGCTTTGTTTCTCCCCCCCCCCCCACCACTCCCTCTCTCTCTCTCTCTCTCTCTCTCTCTCTCTCTCTCTCTCTCTCTCTCTCTCTCTCTCTCTCTCGCTCTCACCCTCTCTTCCTCCAGTTAACTTGGTAACACGGCATACACTAGTCTTTCCCCGTCTTACGGTGTGCTTAAAGAATGTTGATTTTTCATTTCTGATTCTAATAATTAGTTCACTATTGTAAACTGATTTTATTTCGGACATCTCCAGTGCGTTTATATCTGCATTTTGTGTTGAATCACTACTCTTATAAAAAAAAAAAATTGTACCCTCTCCACGGGAAAGATAGGATTTAAGGTATACACTGCTAACTATGAGAAAAGTACGTGGTGATGTCAAACTCTTTTCAACAATGAGGTCCTAATCTCTTTAACGGTGAGGTCCCAATCTCTAGAGTGGCGAGGTCTCAATTTCTTCAACAGTGAGGTCCCAATCTCCCCATTGGTGAGGTCTTAATTTCTTCAATGATGAGGTCCCAATCTCTTCAGCGGTAAGGTCCTAATCTCTTCAACGGTGAGGTCCCAATCTCTTCAGTGGTAAGGCCCCAATCTCTTCAACGGTTAGGTCCCAATCTCTTCAACGGTGAGGTCCCATTCTCTTCAGCGTTGAGGTCCCAATCTCTTCAGTGGTAAGGTTCCAATCTCTTCAACGGTGAGGTTCTAATCTCTTTAATGGTAAGGTCCCAATCTCTTCAACGGTGGGGTCCCAATCTCTTCAATGGTAAGGTCCCAATCTCTTTAACGGTGAGGTCCCAATCTCTTCAGTGGTAAGGTCCCAATCTCTTCAACCGTGAGGTCCCAATCTCTTCAGTGGTAAGGTCCCAATCTCTTCAATGGTGAGGTACTGATCTCTTCAACAGTGAGGTCCCAATCTCTTCAACGATAAGGCCCCAATCTCTTCAACTGTGAGGTCACAATTTCTTCAACGATAAGGTCCCAATCTCTTCAGCGGTGAGGTCTAAATTTCTTCAACGATAAGGTCCCAATCTCTTCAACGAAATATCTTCGACTGTGCTGATCCTATCTCTTCAATGTCGAGGTCGATGTATCTTTAAGCGTGAGGTCCTAATCTGTTTACGGCTCGTTCAAATGTCTTCTTTTAGCATCCTTAAAGTTTACTTTCCCACCAATGTTGTGGACATCCGTCATTCACTCTCAATATCATGAATATTTATATACAGCTCTTGTGAACTATGTTTCTCCTCTCAGCTAACACTTCTCCTTTTAAGGTGATATGAGTACAAGGTGAGACAATTAAGCATTGACACTAATTTCATAAAATTAAAAAATGAAATAATTAACAGCTGCAGATATAACCTATATTTGATTCAAAGTAGCCTCTTGTGCATTGATACAGTTACTAGCACGATTTAACAAACACAGGAACGACTTCTGTAGTTCTTTAGTTGCTATGGCCCTTAAAGTCGATGTTACGGACCCTTGGATGTTATCAATCCCATCAAAGAAGCGTCCTTTAATTGGTGACTTTCATTTTGGGAACATAAAAAAATCACAGGGAGATATTTCTAAGGAATAGGGTGGATAGTTTAGAACACACACTTGATTTGGGGCCCAAAATTCCTGTTTTAATGATGTCTTGTGGGTACTCAACCCGCTGGAGTTTTTAGTCATCAGACAACGAATGCGGTACAAACCTGCAAGCAACTTTTTTTTTGTTGTCAAAATCTTGCACCAGAATTTTACAAAGGGTCTCTCTATTAACTCCAGATACATCTGCCATCATCATGACAGTAAAACAACGATCTTCTGATATCCGTTCTGTGACTTTTACAATGAGTTCCTCATTACAAACAGAAATAGGGTGTCCAGGTCTAGTTGCATTAGCAATCATGACTTTTGCAATGAGTTCCTCGTTAGAAACAGAAATTGGGCGTCCAGGTCTAGTTGCGTTAGTAATCACTTCCACACCACTTTTATTCGTGAATACCACCTGAACATTTGTGCACCGGATAAACAGTTATCCCTGAAAACTTATCGCATCAATTCCACCGTCTCAATGGCGTCTTTTTTGAGTTTTAAAATGAATTTAATGTTAGCTTTTTGCTCCGTGCTGATTACGTGACAATGCATATCTGTCTAGGTCAACATAATGGCGGCTTGTTTGTTGTTTGCTTATCGTACGGCAATGAAAAGTTGCCAGATCATAGGTAAAGGTTGCCTCTTTAGATTCCATGCTTTGCTTCGTAGATAACATTTTTGTCTTGGTCATAATGAACGCAGTCACGTTACCTAATTGCCGGTCCTTGTATACTCAATGGATGACTTTTATCTGCAATTGTTTTTTATTAATCTGTGATTTGCACTGATTTCAATAGAGGTATGAACGTTATTCCATTTAGAGAGCAGTGATAAACTACCAAACGTTAAAAAAAAAAAAAAAAAAAAAAATCTCTGTTAAAACCAATAACAGTCAATAAATGTTGGCTTTTGATTAGCTAAGTTTTGAAAATTATATTCAACTAGCTTTGTCTGTCAGAAAAGCATCCCACTTTACGGTATGACTATATACTATGTGGTGATCGCCTCTGCTGATGTCTTGTGCATGTGTCTATATTTTATGTTCATAGTGTAGGTTCTGAGTTCTCATTGTGAGGTGGTGGGGGGGGGGGGGGAGAACAGACCCAGTCATCTTAACATGCATGTCGTAAGAGTGGACTAATTAGGGTTTCCTTCCAAGTCGGAATGCATTTGTCTGAGAGGCAAGGAACCAACAGTCTGCAAACAGATAAGACAGGTATGTAAAACTAAACTTCTGAAGCAAGACTAAAATTCAGAAGTGGACAAATAACTATAACTTTTTGCTAGAGTATACAGCCGGTAAAATCGAAGAATACGACGTTATTATAGTGTAACTACTTCTATAAAGAGAGTGATGCATTTTCTGTTACTTTTTTACTCACATACATACCCACACAAACGCACAGGGAAACACACACGCTTGCTCACACATACACATGTAGACACAAACACAAATTTAAATAAAAAATAACAACCGAAACCACTTCAGTTTCTTTAACCATAATCATTGAGTACATTCACTAAAATCCAGTTCCACGGGTCTCCGGGCATTGATTGAACCACATATCGATCCAGCCCTTAGATCTGTTGCCCTGCATTTAAATGGCGACTGCCTGGTTTCCCCACCGGTGACGTAAGAGTTCCACGTGACGGTGTTGTGGATTGATTTTGTCTTTTCCTCCCTCTTCTTTTATTTTCTTTTTCCCATTTTCACGTCAGATGTTGTCTCTCGGTTTTCCATCGGCTGGCAGAAACTAGTGGAAGGACGGCCAGTTCCGAAACTGCCCTAGTGGATTTGTTAAAGAGCAAATGTACAGTGGACACTTAGATATATAGGTAGATAATAGTGATCGACATGGAATAGACACGCACATACTGGGTCTTTTCTTGCGAAATAATTGTGACACTGTGTTAAACATTTAATTCGCTTTATTTGAAAAGAAATAATTCGTTGGTATTTAATATCTCATAAGAGTTTTCACTGACATGCAAAATATTCAAGCGCCAAAATATTTGTTTAAATAAAAATTTTATAAATATAAACAAAATAAATAAATTTACCACACACACACACACACACACACACACACACACACACACACACACACACACACACACAAAACTGCTTAGTTTTAGTTACAAAAGACAAATATAAAACATGATTGTTTCAAAACGGTGTGAATTCAAGAAAGATCATTGATATTACAACTAATCAATTTGACAAAAGTAATTTTATTTAAAATACTTGTGTTGGTATCATCGTAAAATAATTTGTTCTTTAAAAATAGGTCGTACAATTTTTAATTGGAATTTGTATATGAATATGATATTTTTTAAAGTGAAACTTTTTTTTAGTTTTACTAATCAGAGCACGTTAGTTCACCAAGGCACTCACATATACACTGAGTTATTACCTCTGTAAATCTAACGCATATCTGTGGATACAATGAGTAATTTATTGCGGGGATTGCTAAGTAAATTGTGCGTCTGTTTCTATCTGTCATGGAGCATGTATGTACCCAGTCTGGGCAGAGAATTTGACGTGGCAACCAACCACTGGCTTGTGGAGACGACACATGATGGTGGTGAGGAGCTGGCCCGTAGGGTGGCTCGGGAAACTGGATTCACTTACATTGGGCCTGTATGTAACTTTTCACTTGTTGTTATATTTGAATTTGTGTAATCACTTGTTGTTTGTGACATGGGGCTATTGTATAAATATTGATTGCTTTGTTTTGAGTACATACTAGTGCTGAGGACTTCTAGCCAAATATGAGGAAAGGGTTGGCAAAATGTTAAGCTTCGAAGTTATTTGTGCTTCCGACAGCGCTTTGCTAAAGTAGTTTCCATATAAGGACGGTAGTCTATGGTTTGAGCTTTTGAGTTTAGTGCTTGTTTGCAGCCCTGTGAGCAGTGGTTTTATTTTCCTGCGAAATGCCTTTAATTTGTGCAGAGGTTGCATTGTGGTATTCAGTAAGGCCGGTAGCAGGTTTACGTGTGCGTTGCTAAAATACCTTGCGTAATAATTATACCTGTGTATAGTAATTATTTTATCGTGCCCGACGACTTTCATCATCGACAAACTGAATTTCTGGTGGCGATTGTTGGCTTTAGCGCCTCTAGCAACTGAAACACGCATTCACTGCGTGCACATATTTCTGGATTGCCCCGGGAGTGGTTTTTGCTGACCAGTTTTTCAAATGCGACAGTGAGGGACATTTAATTTGATTCGCACTGGCTCAGGAAGGGACCAAGTATGGGAAAACCCAATTGCGGTGAAGTTAAAAACTCTACTAAGACTAAGACATAGAGTTACATAAATATTGATTACTTTATAACGTAGAATCATTGTATATATTTCTAGGTGGTAATTACATTCTAGTGTAGGGTCCTCTAAGTACCCTTCCCATCAGTTTTTTTGTTTAGTAGTTCTACTGAATAGGATCGGATTAAAGGATCACTTTATTTGTTATCTTTTTACATAGAATCATCATATAAATACAGATTTTTGTTTTGTTCATTTGTGCAAATGTTTGTGTGTCCGCACGAGAGAGAGAGAGAGAGAGAGAGAGAGAGAGAGAGAGAGAGAGAGAGAGAGAGAGAGAGAGAGATTCAGTGTGTAAGTTTCTCTTTTATATAGGATAACTATATCTGTTTATTAATCAGTGAATATAGCTGTAGGTTTTTTGTTATATGGATTATTATACAGGATCAGGAAACAAAAACATGAAATTTACAGCTCATAGTGTCGCACCATGCTCTCATCTCAGTAGCTGGGCGACAACATCTTTGGACTCCTGGTCTACAAATGGAAAATTGACTGTAAAAGAAAAAAAACATTTTCATAATCTGAACAGTGTGCCAGTGATCTGCCATACTGGCCAGGAATTCACAATTTTTCTTCTTCTTCGCGTTCACCAGCTGTACTTCTGGCGGAAAGTTCTGGTTGCTCGCCCACTACTGAACTGCAGTCCTGCTTTAGAACCTGAGTGTTGCGTGTGCATCAGTTTTACAGATCTCATTCTCTTGAATACAGACTGTTGGTTCCTTGCCTCTCCGGCAGATGCACTCCGACTTCAAAGGAAGCTCCCCAATTAGTCGACTCTTACGACATGCTTTTGGGGAGGCAGTGGGTCTATTCTTGTTTTCCCCTACAATGGGGCCCCGGATCCCACACGGGGGGAATTCACAATTGAATCATATCTTATGTGACATGTCTTTTCAGATGGGACATTGATGGATATTTTGTGTGGTTTCTGCTGGCACAATGCCAGATCAGTTATGGGGCAACCCATGTGCAGTCAAGTTTTAACCTTGTCAAATCACTAACGACTTTACACGTGTATTGACTTGGTATAAATTAGGATTTTGGGTATAAAAAACTGAGCAAAATTATTGACTTCTAATGTACCGCGATGGAAACCCACTGCTGGCTGCGTGAATTGTTATCATGATATGGGACGTCGCAGGTCCACCCAGCCTAAAATGAGTACCAGGACATATTCTGTGGAAGTAAAGACGGCCTGCGTAATGCTGACCACATTACCTACCTAGTGCCAATTGGTCTGTAACATTATGGGTGCTCTTCCCATGTGCCCGATGCGTTTAATGACGTAAAAAGATATCTTTTTTTTTTTTATTGCCGGCAAAATAAAGCATGGACACCATAATTACTAGTAGGATTTGAACATATTTTTTTTTAAGATGCCAATAAATGTCATTACTGCCTGAAGTTGCCAGGTTTGGTGTGTAGACAGGGCGTCTGTGAGACTGAGGATTTAGGGCCGCATGGCTAGTGCAGGTTAATTTCATTTTTGCCCCCGACTGAAGCAAACAAAAATCTCCAACCGTATCGAGCTTTTGAAACCGGATCTCCCGCATGAGAACCCTTTATTCTTAACCGTTTGACCAGCCACTTCTCTAAAACGCGTTCAGTCGCCCGAATAAACGATGCGTATAAACAAGGCTATGGAGCCCAGATTACTTTACCATAGCTTTAGCAGCCAGTTTAAGATGACTGCTATAAACACTACTGCATCACCATACTGTTTTGCCATTAGACGTCACATGGGGTTCGAAGCCGAGTCAGCCCATTCTGTTCTGTCCCATGCAATTCATTGGATACCCTAGATTTAATTTAGTACAGCAACACTGGCCTCTTTTCCTTTCTCCATTTGTTTTCCGTTTCAGTGACTGTTTGTTGATTCTCAATCGGCTTCTTTTCTTGATGTGCCCAATATTTTGTTACGTTCTTTTTCTTTCTAACGGTTACAAATACAACGTTTGGGAAGTTAGAAATGATATAAGAACCGGCCAGCCGTTAGCGGATGCAATTGTCCCACCCTCTCAAACGCTTGTGCTTAAGATATGAAGAGGAGAAAATCAAAATTAAATCGAAAAGAGCATCGGAGTATCAAAAGGTTTCTCATCTGGTCAGAATGGAGCACTATCAGCCTGCGGCTAGAGCGTACTATAGAACGGCAGGATTCAAGCAAGAAACCGACTAAGACAGAGATTGTTGGAATAAAAGAGGTTTGAGGTTTCAACAACGGATAAAAATCATAAGATACTGGTAATAACCCATAAGTCTTTTGTACTTTTTCTAACTCAAGTTACAACGGATTGCAACGGACCGCCGTGCATGGAGAGTCACGACCTCTGCCCTATGTGCCGCACTCGACACAAGAGGAAAGACTAACTAACTTACTGGGGGATAAACCCGGAACATCTAGAACTCGATTTGACACCATACATCGAGACCGCACAGCCCCCCCCCCCCCCCCACCCCCTCGTAGAGTAAGACACGACAGAATCACAATATAATACGAACTCAAGCGACGCAACTAGAACAAGGAGGAAACGACATCTAACTCCACTATGCGCCATTTTAAGGCATAGTCAGTAGAACAAAAGATTGAGTTTTTTAATACAATCAGTTGTTCATGCCAATCTCTTATTTCTTGCCTTTAGAAAACTCATCCTATTTAATTTCATTCACGTTCCTAATGCGTTAATTATATACAGAATATATTTTAACCACGCTATAACGTAAAAATTCAAAAGTGATGCTAGAAATCCTAAAGAGTTTAAAAATTAGAAACAGAGATATAAGAATACTATAGTTTCAAATCAAAGCTTATAATAATAATACAGCCGCACTTACTTAGGAGCAAAAAAAAATAGATTGTCAGAAAGTACTTGCGTAAAACCGTTTACGAAGGCTGGTTGGTCATTGTTCCTCTGCAAAGGTTTAGCAGTAAGATTAACAGGACATGGATCATAATCTAAGAGGAACAAATCATAGATAGCCATTTGAAAAGCATAATGCAGTTATACAGTGTCACTGCGAGTGAATGTCTTGATTTTAAATTGTTATTATGAAAGAAGTATTTGATGGATAATACATGTGTGGCACCCCCATTGAAACATGTAGGCTCATCGCTGAATGAAAGCTACACCAGAATAATTACAGGAGCATATTTAGGTTACAGTTACCGAGCGGCAGGTATTACAGAGATGAAGCAGATTATCTTAACTATGATGATGCTGAAATAAGGATCCTGACTTATAAGTACACTCGACCCAGGTTAGTTTAACAACCTGTACAGATGGCTCATTATTTCGTGGGATGCGCGTCCTGGTGGATATACACAGCGCAGTGGAATAGGAATGGCGGTAAAATTGAAATAAAATAAAAAAGTCGGGCTTTTAGTTCAACTGCTTCTAGCATGACAACAGAGATAGCAGTTGTGACAGGGGCGCATGGAACAAAAAGCAACTCATGCAATGATAGTGACAGACTCATTGAGCGTGCTTAAGAAGATCTAAACAGACAAACTCCGACTAGAATGAGTTGACAGCATCCAGAAATCGGCCCTCAACAAATTATCTTGGATGTACACATGGGGACACGCCGCCATGAAAGGAAATTACAGAGCTGACTAGTAGGCCGTGTCTGCAATGGTTGGTGGAGGAAGAACCGTGTGGAAAGGGCAGACATACTAAATGTGCTATGATCCAGTACTTTGAAAGAAGGGAGTCAGAGACAGTGAACAGCCTGATGGAAATATTTAATGAGAGCAAGCATGTAGCAACTAAGTTCGGGGCAACGAAAGAAGACATGCAGAATGCAGATCAACTCCTATTGTGTGCGAATGTTGAATTAGGAATCAACATCATAGAACTCGGCACACTACCATAAGAGCCCCATCTCCATCTTCAGCAGCAAGCGAAGAATTCCAACACCGATGGTACTAGTAACTATCATACTGCACATACGTCTCGCCTTTCCCTTGAATGTGGAGCGTCGGCCAGATCCCCTGGCAACCCCAGTAATGATCTGACTGTGCCTCCGCACTGTTTACTCGCTCCCAAAAGGCCCTCACAATCATCTAGTTTAGCAGACATGAATTGACTACCAGGTGGTGCAGAACCGGCTTGACTATCTGCCTGTTCGTTTCTCAACACGCCAGCATCGCCTGGATAAAATATCCGAGGAACTAACTACATGGGTCCTCGGAAGCGATGTTTGTCACTCTTCACAGAGCATGCCTGTCTTCACCTTTTGTAACAAACTTTGTGAGTCAGTTACAACTATGTCGTGTCTAAGCTGATTCTTAAGCCACTGAAGGCAGCAGGGAC